TTCCTTTTTTCAGTTATTGGTTTCCTATGTAAATAGCCCTTTTCTGCTATCAAATATATTAACATCAAGAATGTTTAGTGATAAAAGCTATAATTTAAGAAAAACGGGATTCTGTTGAACTATGCATTTCACTTCCTTAACAGAAATCCGTATTCAGTGAAGTATGTGCTATGATTGATAATACACCCAAAACAAATAGATACTCATTTAATAATTTATACACGGATATTACTGCACAGTGCTAAATCAAGAGACTACACAAAGATGGAGAAAGATAATTGGAGTTTCTCTACACCTACTGGTTAGTGCCAAAAAATTGTGGAATTTGTATCTCATGTTTTATTTCTGTGTTGAGAAGCAAGGAGGTTCAAACACAAGCACACATCAAACAAGCATATTATAACTTGAAAAGTTACAGAAATATAATTCAGTCTTCATTACTACTTTTGCATATGACATTTTTTCTCATTTGAGCACAATGTTACATTTCTTAAAAGGTTTATAATTATTTCTACTCACTCTTATCTTGCTAAGAAGGAAATGTATCAGGAAATGTTGAAGATTGCACAGGAAGGAGGTTAAGCTGCAAAATGCTGCAGATGTGAACTGTGTATCCACAACCCAAGAAATACACTGGCAAAATCATGCTCAACAATCCTGTACAACACTGCTTATAAATATGTTTTCCAACCTCTGAGTTACTAATTTATAAAATATACCTACTCTGTTCTAACAAAAAACATATTATAATAAGCTCAAGATTCTTTTCTATGTGATCATCCTGAGCTATGATATGAGTAAATCAGGTCTGGAAGATATTTAGTGGCTGCCTTAGGTACTGTTGCTACTATTACTATTTCTAGCCAACAGTTATTGAATACTTACCATGTGCCAGGCATGGTTCTCAATGTTTTACTTGTGTTATATCATTTAATGCATAAAACAATCCAATATAATAGATGGATATTATGATGAACTCCATTTTAAAGAAAGTAAGAATAATAACTAACATTTGTTGAGAGTTTACTACGTGCCAGCACTGTTCTAAGCACTTTAACTGTTAACCCTTTTAATTGTCAAATCACACTCCTATGATATAAGTAGTAGTATTATCCCCATTTTACAGATGAGGAAACTGATGCAAACCATAGTTAAGTAACTTTACTGTTTGTTTCTAGCCAAAACCTGGCAATAGGCAGATACTGAACCTTTTCTTAGTGCAATTACTTAAGAAAGTTTGTAATCATAAATCTTTTTCATGGGTCTTTGAGATCTAAATCTTCTACAGCCTAGCACTGTCTTCTTACATTCAAGGAAGTAATTCTGCTCTGATTATCAGCCAGTGGATGCCATGCTCTAACTTACATCATTGCTTCCTGTCATAAAGATAAGTTTGCTTTTCCTCTGGATATGTGCCAATCTACAAACCCAGATGGCCCAGTCATATGGACCAACCTCGCCCAACACCCCTCAGTCCCTTTCTCTCAATACCCCTAGCCTTTAAAAGGCCTCCTGTCTTTTGTTTTGGCAAAGTTTAGTTCAGTTCAAACTGGACCCCCTCCCCTACTGCAACAGTTATTACTGAAGAAACCTGTGCTTCGCACTTTAACTAGTGTCCACCTGGTTTATCTTTGACAGTAGTGACAAGTGCAGGAGCTGGGATATGAACATCAGCATTCTGACTAATGCATTACAGATCACTCAAAGCGATGTGAACAATTAATGACTTAAAAGCAAATATGTTAAAAAACGGTAAATTTAAAGTAGCTAAGCTCATATTTATAACCAGAAAGGATCCAAAGGTTTCAATTAAATGCAAACCAAACAGAAGTTCCTTTAAATTTGGGCTAACAGCTTTTGGGTTTATTTTAACTTATTTTATTATTATAAGTCAGCTCAAGTTGTTTTTGTAATAGACGAGTTATAGGCATAAATAGATATATGAAACTCAGCAAGTTGGTTCTTTTGATAAAAGAAAAAGCTAAGCACATTAATGGTTATCTATACAAAATTAAATAAACTACTATTTATACTGAGAATTGATGAGATCCATATTCTAATTCTTGCTCTTATCATCAACTGAGCAATTTAAAATGACAATAACTTGGGAATGTCTTTCTTTTAACAATTTATATTTCTTGGTTTATAACTTCTCTAATAATGAGAATGTTCAGATTTCAATGGTTTCTTTCCTGTTATATTAAAGCCAATTTGAAGTGAAAAAAGCAGAAGAACAAATGAAGGCGATCCTCTGGTAGAATAACCAGTAAGTATCCTGCAAAATTATTCTGAGGAACAAAGTCTATATTAGATACTGAGTCAATGGTCTACCATGCACCCTCACACTGATTTTGGATTTTTCTTCTGACCCGTCTTTCAAAATAATTCTGTTAGAAGAAAAGACGGTAAATTTGTTTTTTCTAAAAATGGGCACATTAAAAAATACAATATGTATCAAATCAATAATTAGCCTTTAGCTGAAAGCTCTGAAGATCACAGTTCAACAAAACAGAGAATAGCTAAAGGTAATTTATTCTTTTCTCTGCAACTGTAAAAGGTACCAGTGGTTTTAGTCTGGAGTATTCTGGTACCATAGTTTGGTTTCTAGAATTAAGTTGAGAGCTCAAGATCTATGTAAAGAAGATATGCCCTTAAGGGTCATTTACACGGTTCATTGGGAGAAACCAAATCTTGAAGATGACCAGGGCCAAGTTCTGTCTCCCTTAGGCTGACTGAGTGTGAGTAAGCACTCATTTTGTGTTATTCATTTTCTTCTCCCAATTATGCTGTGAGTAGGTCTAACAGGCACTTCATCTTTTTTTTTTTTTACAGAAATGGAAACTAATTCACACAAAGGTTTCTGACCTACTACCTAAGGCCACCCAGGCAGGTAGTGTTAAGGTCCGGAATAAGTCTTCCAGTTTATGCCTTCAACATCACTAGAGATAATTATATATCTTTTTTAACACTTTCTTGCCATTAACTTTTTTCATTTAAAAAAAAATTTTCAATTAGAGTTGACATTCAATATTATATTAGTTTCAAGTTTTAATGTAGTTACATTGTGATTCTGGAGAGTCTTTCAATCTTTATACCTCTGTTTTTCTAACTATGAGACTAAATCTTGTATTTCAAATAAAATGTAAAGTTCTTCATAAGTAAATGAACAGCTTCTTTTCAACAACATGTGTAACTTGAAGAATGGATTGGACAATGGCCTTTACCAAATTATTATAAACCATTAGAGCGCAGGGAAAGATTATTTAGGTAATTAACGAAATACTATTTCATCAATACAGATTAATTTCTATAGCAAATCACCATGAATGAATACTTTAAATTTAAATTCCACGCTGTAAGCAGTAGTCAGTTTAAGGATTTAAGACTATAATAACACGTAATCACACAGTTAACTACCACCAACCCTGGGATTGAGAAACACTTAAAAAACGCCTTCTGAAGCAACAAGATTAAGACAACTAGAATGATATATTTCTCAAAGTAATAAAATAATTATATCGCTAATGTGAGCAAATAACTAGTTGTGTTTTTCTTTTTTGCAAGATGAATGCCAGGAACATTATTTAACAATACCCTAAGATTAGGTAAATATGCGTATGACCCCACAACCTCTGTCATTCAACAATATGGAAAAAAGTTCAAATGATTTAAACATTCAATCAGTATTTAGCATATGATACCTTGTAGAAGGGAGAACATTTATTGTGCCTCCTACCTTATTCTAGAAGCTTTCCATCATAGTTATTTCCCATGATAATGCCACCAGGTAGGTATTGTAGACACTCTTTTAAAGATGGAAAAACAGACGCCCAAGAAGGCGAATAACTTGTTTGTGATTAAAAAAATAAATTCTGAAAACTGATGAAATGGAATTTGAGACCAGTTCACTAAATCATTTCTCTTTCCACTACGGAAAGTTAGCTATTCAAAGGTTATTTTTCAAATGCCTTTAATATTTAAAAAGAAAATGTCATTTCTTA